GGACTTTTTTTTTACAGTGATTACATTTAATTCAGCCACAGATAACTTACTTTATATAGCACCAATATTCAGTCAGATTGGTTAAACAAATTTTTATCCAAGAAAAACAGCTGGCTGCATCGAGTCATTGTCTCTGTGTGATACTCTCCTTCTGGATCAGCATAAATATTGGCTCGTATTGTGTCTTCACAATCAAATAGTTCTAAAGATAAGCTTGGTGGTTCCAGGTATTTAGAATAGCAAAAGAAATAAAACTGCAAAGACGTCACATCATCAACAGAGACGTCAAAGCTGTGACTGTTGTCCTTAAATCCTCTTTAGCAGTAGTGCGTTTTAGAATTTTAATGATATGTTTGGTCATTATTACTTTTTCTTTCTCTTCAGAATCTGTTATGCATGAATAGGTGTGTTAAGGGTGTGTTGATATGTTTTTAGATTCTGTGACATCATTCTTGATCTTTTACGGCATTAACATTGGGACACACCTGTTCATTGAGGTGAGGTCATATTCAGGGTCTTTCAAGCAACTTTTACTAACGACACCAGGGGGCATCAGGGATCAATGCGGTACCCTGAGCATATTGTGAAAACAGCTCAACTCACCAGTGGGCTAGGTTACATTTTTGATTCTGTTGTTCTTTTCAAAATGACAATAAGTAAATGAAAAGTTGAAATCAGAAGAAACATTTAAAATATTTTTATTATGGATGAAGTTTAAAGTCGTAGGGAAGTGGCTGTTCCAACTGTGGCAGTTACGAATTCTCCCAAGTGGTGCCCGACTTTACTCGGGTGAATAAAGTGAATATGATCGGTCGTTTATCAAGGGGACGGGATTGTTGTGGCGGAAGGTTCGCAAACAATTTTGATTGAGGCCGGTTTGTTGGAAGCATCTTGCTAACCAGTTAGCAACTTAGTGCTAGTAGGTTCCCAATGGGAAATTCAAATGGGACCAAGTAGCACTAAATTGGTGACTTAGAAACAACATTGTCAAGGAACGCTATGGACAGCGGAAACATGCAAGAGGAGGAGAGTTTAGTGTCGGAGGTCGTGGATGAGTCTCCTCCGTCATCCATTTTTTATTTAAAGGAGGAAAGCGGGGACGAAGATGTTGTGGAAGAGGACGCCAGGGCGGCAGAAGCTTGGTTTGGTGTAGAAGGCTTCCAGCCGTACATGTTTGAACCCTTGCCTCGCAACGCTGCCAGTTCTGTTAGCTCTACGCCTGCAGAAGACACAGACATTCATCCCCGTGAACACTGGGACGGAACTCAGTGGGAAAGGAAATCATTCTAATTTCTTATTTCATCCATTGCATATATTAGCTGCAACATATGAATCCAAATGTTATAACTGAAAAATGCTGGTGAAGGTTCTCAATCATCCAGGTCATATTCATTCCATAAAAAATTGCAAAAAGTCTACTGGATTTGGTTGCAGTACTCCTGATTCTTACCGTACTATAAAAATCAGGAGACCTTACACCCAGTATTAATCTAAGCATCATCATGAAGATGATCCTTTCTCTGCCTCTAATCTGGACTCTCTACAGCAAAGGTCACCTGAATCATTATGTATGTATTTTCACAATTTATAACTGTGCAGAAAATACTGCATTAAATTTAACTTTTTTCAGCTGGCAGTGATATTCAATAAAACGTTAGAGGGGTTATTTTGCAATTATTCTAATTTCACAGTTTTCTAAACATATTCATATGTTTGATACAAACATAAAAAATGAAAGAACAAACAAGAATTTAAACAAAACCTAATAGAAGTTAAGGTTCCAGTGGACTGAATGATGTGTCTGTCTGAATGTTTCTACTTTAAACTGGTTCTGTTGATCCATGTGTTTTAGTAATTATCTAAAGAAATCCAACAGATTCTAAAGGATGTTTAAAGCCTTTCTGCTTCAGTTTTGCTAAGACATTTTTAATCAGACTATGGTGTTCCAGTTGTATTCTCAATAGAGGTTATTTAATGATAAATAACCTCTATTGGGACAAGCTGTACCAGCTCAACGTGCCCAGCTCCCTCTGCAGGTGGATTACTGACTTCCTGACGGACCGGAGACAGCACGTGCGGCTGGGAACAACTGTCTCGGACACACGGACCATCAACACCGGATCCCCCCAGGTCTGTGTCCTTTCCCCCTGGCTTTTCTCCCTGTACACCAACTGCTGCACCTCTAGCCATCAGTCCGTGAAACTGATCAAGTTTGCGGACGACTCCACCCTCATCGGGCTCATCTCGGACGGTGATGAGTCTGCCTACAGGAGGGAGGTGGACCGGCTGGTGTCCTGGTGCAGCAGCAACAACCTGGATCTGAACACCCAAAAGACAGTGGAGATGATCGTGGACTTCAGAAAGGTCACAGCCCCACCGTCCCCCCTTGCCCTCACAGACAGCCCTACCCCCATCTCCAACGTGGAGTCCTTCCACTTCCTGGGCACCACCATCACCTAGGACCTCAAGTGGGAGCCGACCATCAGCTCCCTCGTCAAGAAGGCCCAGCAGAGGATGTTCTTTCTGCGGCAGCTGAGGAAACTTAAGCTGCCAACCCGGATGTTGGTGCAGTTTTACACCTCCATCATTGAGTCCATCCTCACCTCCTCCATCACCGTGTGGTACGCTGGCGCCACCGCCAGGGACAGATACCAACTGCAGCGCATTGTGCGCTCCGCTAAGAAGGTGATCGGCTGTAAGCTGCCATCTCTCCAGGACCTGTATGTCTCCAGGACCAGGAGGCGTGCAGGTCGCATCACAGCCGACCCTTCTCACCCTGGACACAGACTGTTTGAACCTCTCCCCTCAGGGAGGAGGCTACGGTCCATACGGACCAGAACCTCCCACCATAAAAACAGCTTCTTCCCCTCTGCCATAAGACTCATGAACACTATATGTCAGACTCCATAACCTGCCCATGCCATTCACACTGCTGTATTTGCACTACCTTGTACATTTTACTTTTTATATTTATCCATATTTTTATCTTAAGTGTATATATTAGTATATTTTTTGCATGCCTTATACCCTAGTGTTTTTAGAGATTTTTATAATTTTATTTACTATTTCATATATGTTTCATGTTGCACGACTGTACCACAAAAAATTCCTAGTTGTGAACTTCTTCACTAACAATGGCAATAAACCCGATTCTGATTCTGATAATTCTTACTCATCGTCTCTTTCTTCATCTGGAACCAGGACACGCAAGCTTCAGTCTCAGCACAGAATCCCAGACATCCCTATCCCTATTTCATTTCAGCTCATTTATATAGCGCCAGTTTACAATCCATGTCATCTCATGGCCAATAAAATTTCAACCAGATCATGCAGTCAAAGTATTCAAAGTTTTCTATCTACGGAAAACTAGTTGATTGCATCGACTCATTGACTCGAAGGCAATCCCTCACAACAAGCATGCTTGTAGCAACAGTGGAGAGGAAAACTCCCTTTGAGCATGAAGAAACCTGTTAGCAGCAATCTGCCGAGGCCAACTGGGGTTCAAAGAGACAGTATCAGACATACAGATAGTAACCGAGATACAAAAGGCACTGTCAACCAGCTCCACAGGTGGCCCCATCCAGGAAACACAAAACCAGGCATATGAGCTCCGAGCCAACTCCCATGTAAAAGGATGAAGAGAGCACATCCAGCCAGTCACAGTCAGAGAAACAGGACTACACTAAAAAATAGGCTGAGCTCAAACATCTATAAACAAGTGTTGATGGCAGCAGCACAGCTGATATTTCTCTCCAGGATGGAGTCACAGTCAAACAGGAACAGACCGCATGTAGCTACTATGAGAAAAAGCAGATAAAGCATAACGTTAGAGGATAAACTAAAAAAGTATACAAAGTGGGAGAATAGAGATAGAATGAAGCAGAATGATGAAATAGGGGTCCCTATGTCCTCCAGCAGTCTAAGCCTATAGCAGCATAACTATAGAGATAGCTCAGGATAACCTGAGCTATCTCTAACTATAAGCTTTATCAAAAAGGAAAGTTTTAAGCCTAGCCTTAAAAGTAGACAGGGTGTCTGCCTCACGGACTAAAACTGGTAGTTGGTTCCACAGGAGAGGAGCCTGAAAACTAAAATATCTGCCTCCCATTCTACTTTTAGAAATTCTCGGAACCACAAGTGAACCTGCAGATTGAGAGTGAGGTGCTCTGTTGGAAACATAAGGAACAAACATATTATACATATAATGTAAGATGGAGCTGGGATATTTAGATTAGATTAGATTCAACTTTATTGTCATACACAGGTACAGGTGCATGTTTTAAGGCTTTATATATGTTCCCTCACAATAGTGATTTTAAATATACGTAACAGGCAACCTTCTTTGTGCTTAGTGGACTGCGCAGCAATGTACTAAAAGTAAAAATCTGTAAGTAAAATAAGGTTTTAGCTTAGTCACATGTAGTGCTGTAACAAATCCAACTTGAAAATCTTTTTAAGAAGTTTAACTCTGGAAAATAGAAAGGAAAATGATTTCATTTAAGGCATTAATTGTTTGGTATGTATTCTACTTTATCTGTGTTTTTGTGTTTCTATGAAACAGAGATGGGAGTGTCTACATGCTGCTCAATCCAACTACATCCAATGCGTAAGGACCGAAGAGGAGGATACCTTTTATTTTTGTGATGAAGGGGGAGAGATTCTAAAAAATTTGTCAAAATATATTTTTTTTAAATGGAAAAAAAACACACTAAAGACCTCACATCTGCAACAGGGAGGCCAAAACTGAGAAGCTTCTTTTCTCAAAGTGTGTTTTATGTTGTTAATCACATGTTTGGTTTTAATTACCTTTTATTCTCTTTTCATACTCTGGTATGCATGAATAGGTGAGTTAAGGGTGTGTTAACTTGTTTTTAGAGTCTTTGACATCGTTTCCTGATGTTTGACGCTGTAAACTTGGGAACACACCTGTTATATGATGTCATAAGAGGAGTATATAAAGTATAGCAGGACTCCTGGGTTTTAGTATCAAAACCAGGAGACCTAACAAACAGGATTCATCTGAACATCACTATGAAGCTGATTTTTTTTCTGACTGTCATCTGGGCTCTCTACAGCAAAGGTAACAATAATAACTTTAAATATATTTTTCACATTCTCTACCACATAAAATATTATAAATATTTTGTAATTATTTTAATTTTATAGCTTTATAAACTTTTGCTGTGTTGGATACAAACATGACTTTTTTTCAAAGGAAAGAGGAAAGAGTTGGCTAAACAAATATATATAACCGGTTATGTGTGTATATATATATATATAGATATATATATATATATATATCTATATATATATATATATATATATATATATATATATATATATATATATATATATATATATATATATATAGTGAAAAACGCTTTCTCAACTGTTTTTTTTTTAAGTGTCCTGTCTGGCAATGTGGGCAATAAGAATAATTGTCTTGATGCCAAAAAGAGCCCAACAGATTTTACTTTCACAAGTGGAGCAGTACGTCTATTGCCATAGTGTTCCGCTTGTTTCATGCATATAAATTGTTTTATTATAATTATGCAGGGAGTTTTACAGATTATATGGACATTGCAAAGTAAATAGAATCGAATAGGTAAAACAGAAAAAAAGGAGAAAAGATTAAAGAAAGAAGAGATAGAAAGGAGATAATGATAAAACATTTTCAGTCTGCTTCATCACCTGCAACGTGATGAAAATAGAACAGCACAACCAACAGACATGGTACGAGACATACAATAAAGTAACACCTTGAAACTATCGCTGAAGTAGTATTATTTAATCTGACATGTACTCTGTTACCTGAAGATAAGAATGTGGGCTTTCTATATGGAAGTCAACTGTCTTTTTTTTAAATATGTCAAAACCACTTCATGGTGTTCAATTCTCAACAATAGTTATTTAATTATCATTTTTATGACTTCTTTTATTGTTGCTGTTTTTATCTTCTTTTTCTTTTTAATTAAAATAGCACATTTGAGAATAAATAAACCTTGATCTTTGATTTATTTTCTCGGAATGCAGTATTGTTATCTTTTCTTATTCTCCACCATGACTTAAGCCTTAAGTAAGAGAAATCTGACTTTGAAAATGAGCCATTTCCCGACTATGGTTTAATTTAACATATTTTTGACTATTTATTCTCAGGAATTTCTTTTGAAATCACCAAAAACTAGAAAGATGAATTTTTAAATCAATGGACATATTGTCAGAATGTTTCATGAAAGATTTTGAACAATTCTTTAAATCCAACATTTCAATTGTGTGCAGCTGGGGCTCTGCAGTGCATCACCTGCACCAATCAGGCATGTTCAAGCACAGCACCACTAACATGTGGCTCAGAGACGATGTGCATAACAGCTAACATTAAAGGTATTGGTATGTTTATGTCTTACTACTTTTTATAATTGGAATTTTTGCTTTCATTTTCAGGCTGTGTATGTTTTCTAATAAAACAACAAATATCCCATTGGCTTTGCAGGAACTCAGTCTGGAGTTACAGGAACACAAATCTACAAAGCCTGCGCACCATCCTCTCTGTGTCCAAGCACAGGCACTCAGACGTTTTCAGTCAACTTGGGTTACCAAAGTGCAATTGCATCTGCTGAGTGCTGCAACACTGACAACTGCAATTCACAAACTCTGGCTTGTAGGTTTCATCCGCAGTTTTAATAATACTGACATTCCCTTTGTGTTATGTGTGTTTAACAAGTTTCTCTTTCATCTGCGGTTTCCATTTCAGCGCCACCTACACCGCCAATCAACTCCCTTCAGTGTGTTGTTTGTGACCCCACCACATCTCAGTGCACCACTCCCATCCCATGTTCAGGAGATGAGAGCAACTGTGTGACAGCAACTTGTAAGTTTACATTTTTGATAGTTTGGATGAAATATTGTAATTCTAAAAAATACTTTAGAGCTGGAATGATTCAAAAGCTAATGTTAGAAGCTGAAGAAAGCACAAAGAGCAGTCTTCTGTTGTTTGAATAATTGGATTGATTGTTCTTTGGAAATAAATTGGACTTACTCGACTTTCTTTTAAATATTAACAGTAAACGATGGAACAAACACAATTCAAGCGCTGGGATGTATTAGTCCAAACACTTGTGCAGCTGCTTCAAGCCTGGGTAGTTTGCCATTCATGGAGAGTGTTGGTTCGATAACTAGTGGACCAAGCTGCTGTACAACAGGTTTGTGCAATGATCCAAGAACAACAACCACAACAGTGGCACCAACTACCACCACCACAACAGTGGCACCAACTACCACCACCACAACAGTGGCACCAACTACCACCACCACAACAGTGGCACCAACTACCACCACCACAACAGTGGCACCAACTACCACCACCACAACAGTGGCACCAACTACCACCACTACAACAGTGGCACCAGCAACCACAGCATCCCAGTCAGCCACCACTGCATCAACCACCAGTAGTGCTTCTAGCGTCGCCATGGGCACCCTTCATCTATTACTTTTATTGACTGTTGTCATTCTGTAAATATCCTTAAAAAATTGACAGCATTAATGGTCAATTAAGAAACGGTTAGTCACAAATGTGAGGGAATTGTCTTTTTAGTTTCTCATGCTTTCTTTTGATTTTTAATTATTGGTTTCTTAATTTTGGTTTTTATTCAATTACATTACTTTTTATGATTGTATTTTCTTCCTTAATCAACTTGTGTACTGCATATGTGTCTTATTAATTTTGTATTTAATTTTCATGTAACTTTTACAACATAATTTCTATTTTATAAACATCTTTATGTTTGGGGGCTTTATATCTACAGAATTTCCTCAAGATGTTTGAGAAAAACATGTTAAATAAACCTTATTAAGTATTTGTCTGTATTTTGTGAGGGAGAAAATGAATATGAAAAATAACATACACCAATAATCCCCCATATATATTAGATAAAATAAGATAAAAGGATAATTTTAACTGCCCAAATGTTCACTAAAGAAGCAATAACCATTCCATCTATTTGGAGGGTTTTTTTTATGTGGGTCTGTGTCAATTTCACACTGCTTAATGTAATTCTATAACATCAGCTCTTCCCTGACAGCATGGAGGAAGTTTCTTATCCTACAAAATAATATGATAAACTTCTAGTAATGGAAGAATAAAGGTATTGCATATATGGATCATTTATTTGAAGGAAATTAGTTTAGATTAAATATGCAATATGGCATTGACAAAAATAAATTCTTAGAATATGAACAAATTAAATCTATATTTAGAAACAAAATCATGCATATTAATAGTGGTTTACAAGTTGCAACTTTATTATAGTTCCTAGAATTAAACCCCCCAAAACAACTGTCTACATTATACAGGACACTGACAAAACTATATAATACAATATCTCTTCCTATTATGAAATGGGAGGGGGTATTTATCATTCAGCTTTCAACAAAACAGCTGGGCTCAGATATGTCAAAGAACTTTTAACATAACTAGATACTCCAAGTTAAAACGAATACAAGACAAAATCTTTCACCTGTACACTATACAGGTCAATAACAAAATATCTGGGTACAGATATTTAAGGACTTAGTTGTAAGTGCCTGAGTTCTAAAATTGTACCTTCTCCAACAGTTTCCTTGCTGGGTGACTGAGGGAAGCTCTCTGGAAAAACAAATAGTTTGCATGGCCCCTTTTTTGCATCAATACAATTATTCTTATTAGAACATTGTCAGACAGGAAACTGTAAAAAAAGAAAAAGTGATTACTGATTTAGTGATTAGTGATTTATGACAGTGATTAACTTTAATTAAATCACAGATAACTTACTTTATATAGCACCTATATTTAGTCAGATTGGTTAAAAAATTTTTTATCAAACTAAAAATTTACTCGTTTTGTGCCAAATAGCTGTGCTACAGCCAAACGGTTCTAAAGGTAAGCTTGCTGGTTCCAGGTATTTTGAAAAGCAAAACAAAAACAACTGCAAAGACGTCACATCATCAATAGAGACGCCAAAGCTGTGAAGCTCTTGTCCTCAAATCCTCTTTAGCAGTAGTGCGTTTTAGAATGTTAATCATATGTTTGATCATAATTACTTTTTCTTTCTCTTCAGAATCTGTTATGCATGAATAGGTGTGTTAAGGGTGTGTTGATATGTTTTTAGATTCTGTGACATCGTTCTTGATATTTTATGGTGCTAAAATTGGGACACACCTGTTCATTGAGGTGCGGTCATATGTAGGGTCTTTAAAGCAACTTTTACTGATGGCACCAGGGGGCCTCAAGGAACACATGGGGTGCCCTGAGCATCTTGTAAAGACAGCTCAACTCACCAGTGGGCTTAGGATCAAATTTTGATACTGTTGTTCTTTTCAATTCTTTTTATAAAATTTTCAAAATGACAATATGTAAATGAAAATGAGAAATTATAAGAAACATTAAATATATGTTTAATATGTATGAAGTTTAAGTGAATGCTAACTCTTCCAGTTCATAAGTCAGTATTGGTAGCCCTTCCTATTGCAGAAAGTTAAGAGTCATCCAGGTTTTCACGTATTCAAATCATGCCTGTAATCTTTGTAATGTGTTAGTTTCATCTGGATTTAAAGACATTTATAGCTGAGTATCATCAACATATTAGTGGAAATTAAACCCATGCTGTCTAATAATTCTACTATATAGGAGCATATATATCAGTGGCGGCTGGTGACAAATATTTTTGGTGGGGCTGAGATAGCCTAGTGTATGTCTCCAACTAATCCAGAATAAGAATTCAAATAAACAATTGGAAATTAAATACAATTTAACAGTAATGATTTAATTTACTATATAATAACAGTAACAGTGATGATTTGGGTCACTGTGACAGGGTTCTTTGGCCTCCAAGAATCCAGGCTCAGTCGGGTTACCGGTGTTGGTGATTTATTGTGCTCAAAAACTCAAAACAGGGTGTAAAAGAAGCTAAACATATACAAGATACTCTGGGCCTCAGTCTCTCTCCAGTTACCAGCAATGTAACAAAGAAACAGAAAACAGAAATGGCAGCTCTTCTTCCCACAGCACTCACTGCAGGCAACTGTTAGGACAGCTCAGTGACAGCACCAGGGGGATATTTCATAATTGGGATATAAAAAAAATATAGTTTTGACTAGTTCAAATTAACTAAAATATCTTGATTATAATTCCGCATGTGTGATACTTTAAATGACAAATCAGATGACTACATTTGAGATATCTGAAAAAGCATTTTGACTCTCCAAATTGTGATTAAAGATATCTTGAATAGTTATTTTTCCCTAGACATAATATTAAAATATAAAACATCATTAGGGCAGTCAAAACTCAGCAAGTAATGTTTGTCTATTCTATTAAAATGTCTGTATCTCTATAATGGATCTGTATTATGAGTTTTCTTCTCAATTCAGAGGGCCCCATGCCTGTCTTTGCCTAGGGCCCCAAATTTGCCTAAATCCACCCCTGCTTCAATTCTCTCCTCCAGGTTTCATCTGTTGTGCCTAGAATTAACTCTGTTGTCGCGGGAGCACGCATCGCCCGAAACTCACGCCTACTGATGAGAAAACAGATTCAAATAATGAAGGAAAAGGTAAATTTTAAACATGTTGTTAATGTTTTCATATTTCTTATACATGGTTGCCTTAAAGTTGATAGTTTTAATGGAAGAATAAATTCAAATTAATAGGATTTTACTGGTATGGAGACACGTTTCAGTCAATGTGCAATGAATACATTCTCTTCTCAGTGGATGCCAATTCCCAATTTTGCTATCAACGCCATTGTAGATCATGTCTGACACTTTAATTGTTAAACTTAGAACCTGGAACCTGCCGAATTTTCCCTCCCCTCCTTATTTTCACATTCCTCAAATCGCATTGGTGCTTGGCAGTGAGGCTGTTCACAACAGCGCAGGCTGTGCGCTACTTGTAAGTGCACAACCTGCCAAATGTTGAAAGGGCAATACTATTGCCATTACTCTTAATATATAATAGAAATTTACACATTGAGTGATAAAATGTCACAGGTGATGTTATGGGGGGGTGGTCATTTAAGAAGGGGGATGCACATCCCCCCTTAACTCAAGTACTGGTTCTGGGAACAGATCTGTAAGGACTTAGTTGTAAGTGCCTGAGTTCTAAAATTGTACCTTCTCCATCAGTTTCCTTGCTGGGTGACTGAGGGAAGCTCTCTGGAAAAACAAATAGTTTGCATGGCCCTTTTTTTTTTTGCATCAATGCAATGATTCTTATTAGAACATTGTCAGACACCTGTTTTCAATCCTCTCGTTAACCCTCTCTTTGTCTCTGTCCCCTTTAAAAGCCCTCCCTCTTCAGTTGCTGTTTGCTGGATCCTCGTCTAATGTCTGTCTGCGTACCTCGTCTCTCCCTGGCTCCTAGAGTTTGGTTTTCCCCTGATGTCTCCCTGGTTCTGGTTCGTCTGTTATTTCTGTTGGATTTTTGATTCCTGCCTCAGTTCCTGTAAACCTCAATAAACCCACCTAAATTCACCTCTGCCTACTTGCCTCTGCATTTGGGTCCTCAAACCAACACCAAATCCTGACAACAGGAAACTATAAAAAAAAAAAAATGATTACTGATTTAGTGATTAGTGATTTATGACAGTGATTAACTTTAATTAAATCACAGATAACTTACTTTATATAGCACCTATATTTAGTCAGATTGGTTAAACAAATTTTTATCAAACTAAAAATTTACTCGTTTTGTGCCAAATAGCTGTGCTACAGCCAAATAGTTCTAAAGGTAAGCTTGCTGGTTCCAGGTATTTTGAAAAGCAAAACAAAAACAACTGCAAAGACGTCACATCATCAATAGAGACGCCAAAGCTGTGAAGCTGTTGTCCTCAAATCCTCTTTAGCAGTAGTGCGTTTTAGAATGTTAATCATATGTTTGATTATAATTACTTTTTCTTTCTCTTCAGAATCTGTTATGCATAAATAGGTGTGTTAAGGGTGTGTTGATATGTTTTTAGATTCTGTGACATTGTTCTTGATCTTTTATGGTGTTAACATTTAGACACACCTGTTCATTGAGGTGCGGTCATATGTAGGGTCTTTAAAGCAACTTTTACTGATGGCACCAGGGGGCCTCAAGGAACACATGGGGTGCCCTGAGCATCTTGTAAAGACAGCTCAACTCACCAGTGGGCTAGGATCAAATTTTGATACTGTTGTTCTTTTCAATTCTTTTAATAAAATTTTCAAAATGACAATATGTAAATGAAAATGAGAAATTATAAGAAACATTAAATTTATGTTTAATATGCATGAAGTTTAAGTGAATGCTAACTCTTCCAGTTCATAAGTCAGTATTGGTAGCCCTTCCTATTGCAGAAAGTTAAGAGTCATCCAGGTTTTCACGTATTCAAATCATGCCTGTAATCTCTGTAATGTGTTAGTTTCATCTGGATTTAAAGACATTTATAGCTGAGTATCATCAACATAAAAGTGAGCACTAATTCCTATGGTGCTCCACAGGTAACCCGGGAGCATGAGGAAGATTTATTATTAATGTGAACAAACTGAAATCGGTCAGACAGATACGATTTAATACTTATAAAATATTCAAGTTTGGTATGTATTCTACTTTATCTGTGTTTTTTGTGTTTCTATGAAACAGAGATGGGAGTGTCTACATGCTTTGTAATGAAGAGTGATGCCATGGTTCAACAAGCTACTCAATTCAACTACATCCAATGCGTAAGGACCGAAGGGTAGGATCCTTTCTATTTTTGTGATGAAGAGGTTAGAGATTCTAAAGAAATGGTCAATATAGTTTTTATTAAAATTAGAATAAAAACACTTAAGACCTGACATCTGCAACAGGGAGGCCAAAACTGAGAGGCTTCTTTCCTCAATCCCTATTTTGCAGAAGTGTGTTTTATGATATTAATCATGTTTGGTTTTAATTACCTTTTCTTCTCTTTTCATACTCTGGTATGCATAAATAGGTGAGTTAAGGGTGTGTTAACTTGTTTTTCGATTCTGTGACATCGTTCCCTGATGTTTGACGCTGTAAACATGGGAACACACCTGTTATATGAGGTCATAGGTAGAGTATTTAAAGTATAGCAGGACTCCAGAGTTTTAGTATCAAAACCGGGAGACCTAACAAACAGGATTCATCTGAACATCACTATGAAGCTGATCTTTTTTCTGACTGTCATCTGGGCTCTCTACAGCAAAGGTAACAATAATAATTGTCCATGTACTTTCACATTTTCAATAGAAAACTACAACACTAGAGCAAAGAGGGAATATTTCGCATTAATTTTTTTATGGCTTTCTAAACTTTTTCTTTTTTCCGTGACTTTTTTTCAAAGGAGAGAGCCAGGTATACAAATACATGAAAGCATATCTATGTATATATATCTATATATATATATATATATATATATATATATATATATATATATATATATATATATATATATATATATATATATATATATATATATATATATATATATATATATATATCACAATTATAATGAACATTGCAACTGATCCCTAAATGTGTACCAAAAGTTTTATACATCAAAATCACTTCATGGTGCTCCATTTCTACAATAGTTATTTAATGATAATTTTTATGAATTTTTGTCGTTGTTTTTTTTTTCTTTTTCTTTTTAATAAAAATAGCACATTTCAGAATAAAAAAAACTTTGGTCTTTAATTTATCTTTCTTGGAATGTAGTATTTTTATCTTTTTTATTCTCCACCATGCCTTAAGCCTTAAGTAAGAGAAATCTTACTTTGAAAATGAGAATAGTTTAATTTCACAAATTTTTGACTATTCTCAGGGCTTTCTTTTGAAATCACCAAAAACAATAAAGTTGAGTTTTCAAATCAATCTTCATATTTTCAGAATGTTTCATGAAAGTTTTTGAACAATTCATTAAATCCAACCTTTTAATTATTTGCAGCTGGGGCTCTGCAGTGCATTACCTGCACCGATCAAGCATGTTCAAGCACAGCACCACTAACATGTGGCTCAGAGACGATGTGCATAACAGCTAACATTAAAGGTATTGGTGTGTTTATGCCTTACTACTTTTTATAATTGGAACTTCTGCTTTCATTTTCAGGCTGTGTATGCTTTCTATCAAAAACAACAAATATCCCATTGGCTTTGCAGGAACTAAGTCTGGAGTTACAGGAACACAAATCTACAAAGCCTGCGCACCATCCTCTCTGTGTCCAAGCACAGGCTCTCAGACGTTTTCAGTCAACTTGGGTTACCAAAGTGCAATTGCATCTGCTGAGTGCTGCAACACTGACAACTGCAATTCACAAACTCTATCTTGTAGGTTTCATCCGGAGTTTTAATAATACTGACATTTCCTTTGTGTTATGTGTGTTTAACAAGTTTCTCTTTCATCTGCGGTTTCCATTTCAGCGCCACCTACACCGCTACTCAACGCCCTTCAGTGTGTTGTTTGTGACCCCACCACATCTCAGTGCACCACTTCCATGCCATGTTCAGGAGATGAGAGCAACTGTGTGACAGCAACTTGTAAGTTTACATTTGTGATAGTTTGGATGAAATATTGTAATTCTAAAAAAATACTGTAGAGCTGCAAAGCTTATATTAGAAGCTGAAGAAAGCACAAACAGTACTCTTGTGTTGTTTTAATACATCGATTTTTTGTTCTCCGGGAAAAAAAATTGGACTTACTTTACTTTCTTTTAAATATTAACAGTAAATGATGGAACAAACACAATTCCAGCGCTGGGATGTATTAGTCCAAACACATGTGCAGCTGCTTCAAGTCTGGGTAGTTTGCCATTCATGGAGAATGTTGGTTCAATAACCAGTGGACCAAGCTGCTGTACAAAAAGTTTGTGCAATGATCCAAGAACAACAACCACAACTGCAGCACCAACAACTACAACAGTGGCACCAACCACCACAACTGCAGCGCCAACAACTACAACAGTGGCACCAACAACTACAACAATGGCACCAACCACCACAACCGCAGCACCAACAACTACAACAGTGGCACCAACTACCACAACTGTTGCTACAACCACCACAACAATGGCACCAACTACCACAACTGCAGCACCAACCACTACAACAGTACCACCAACCACCACAACTACAGCACCAACAACTACAACAGTGGCACCAACTACAACAACTGTTGCACCAACTACCACAACTGCAGCGCCAACCACTACAACAGTGGCTCCAACCACCACATCTACAGCACCAACAACTACAACAGTGGCACCAACTACCACAACTGTTGCACCAACCACCACAACAGCAGCACCAACAACAGCACCAACTACCACAACTGCAGCACCAACCACCACAACTGCAGCACCAACAACTACAATACTGGCTCCAACTACCACAACCATTGCACCAACAAGTACAACCGTGGCACCAACCTCCACAACTGCTGTACCTACAACTACAACAGTGGCACCAACTACCACAACTGTTGCAACAACCACCACAACAATGGCAACAACTACCACAACTGCAGCACCAACCACTATAACAGTGGCACCAACCACCACAACTACAGCACCAACAACTACAACAGTGGCACCAACTACCACAACTGTTGCACCAACTACCACAACTGCAGCACCAACCACTACAACAGTGGCTCCAACCACCACATCTACAGCACCAACATCTACAACAGTGGCACCAACTACCACAACTGTTGCACCAATTACCACAACAGCAGCACCAACAACAACAGCACCAACTACCACAACAATTGCATCAACAACCACAGCAGTGCCACAAACTACCATAACTCCTGTACAAACAACTACAACAGTGGCACACACTACCACAACTGTTGCACCAACCACCACAACAGCAGCACCAACAACAACACCAACTACCACAACTGCAGCACCAACCACCACAACAGCAGCACCAACAAGTACAACAGTGGTACCAACCACCACAACTGCTGCACCAACAACTACAACAGTGGCACCAACTACCATAACTGTTGCACCAATTACCACAACAGCAGTACCAACAACTACAACAACAGCACCAACTACCACAACAATTGCATCAACAACCACAGCAGTGCCACAAACTACCATAACTCCTGTACAAACAACTACAACAGTGGCACACACTACCACAACTGTTGCAGCAACTACCACAACCATGGCACCAGCCACCACCGCCAAAACAGTAGCACCAGCAACTACCACAACTGTGACACCAGCAACCACCACAAAAGTGGCACCAGCAACCACCACAACAGTGGCGCCAGCAACCACCACAACAGTGGCACCAGTAATAACCACAAATGTGACACCAGCAACCACCACAAAAGTGGCACCAGCAACCACCACAACAGTGGCACCAGCAATAACCACAACCAAATCACCTACATCATCCACAGCATCCCAGTCAGCCACCACTGCATCAACCACAAGTAGTGCTTCTAGCGCGGCCATGGGCACCCTTCATCTATTACTTTTATTGACTGTTGTCATTCTGTAAATATCTTTTAAAAAATTAAAAGCATCACATCAATGGTAAATTAAGAAATGGTTAGTCTCAAAAGTCATGGAAGTCTATTTTAGTTTCTTATGCTTTCCTTTGATTGATTTTATTTATTGGTTTCTTATTTTTGGTTTTTATTTAATTATATTTATTACTTTTTACGCTCGTATTTTTTTTCTTATTCAAACTGTGTACTGCAGCTGTGTCTTATCAAAATGTATTTTATTCATGTTGTAAGTTTTACAACACAATTTCGATTATATAAACATCGTAGTGTTTTGGAGATTCATATCTACACAATTTCCTCAAGATGTTGGAGACTGTGAAATAAACCTCTTTATTAAGTATTTGTCTGTATTTTTTGAGGGGAAAAAAATTACTATAAAATATAAAAATATATACACTAATAACCCCCAATATACATTAGATAAAATAAGCTCAAAGAATTATTTTAACTGCCCAGACTTTCACTAAAGAGTGCTCCAAAGGTGCAAGAGGGGGACAGAATAGTCGCAGGTTCATCCTCTTGTTTTTTGGGGCCATGAAGTCTGGACAGAGCATCAGGTTTTACATTACCGAAGCCAGGAAGGAAGGCAATTGACAGATTAAACTGGGAGAAGAAGAGTGACCAGCGGGCCTGTTGTGGTTTCAGACGTTGAGCTGACTGCAGGTATGAGAGGTTCTTATGATCCGTCCAGATGACTATGGGCAGCTCGGAACCCTCCAGCCAATGTCGCCTCTCCTCCAAAGCTAATTTTATGGCTAGCAGTTCACAATCTCCTACATCCAAGTTACGTTCGGCGGGAGACAACCGACGGGAGAAAAAGGCACATGGACGGCACTTCTGGTCAGACTCAGACTGCTGAGAAAGGGCTGCTCTGACACCAGGCATCAATCTCTAGGAGGAATTGTTTACTGGGATCAGGATAAACTAGAATGGTGGCCTGAGAAAACATGTTCTTGAGTTAATCAAAAGAGACCTCAGCCTCTTGATTCCAAACAAAAGGAACCTTAGGTGAAGTTAGGGCGTGGAGACCTCCAATAGAAGTTAGCAAACCCTAAAAAATGCTGTAGCTGTTTTCTGGACTCCGGTGTAGGCCACTCAACTACGGCTTTGATCTTGTCGGGGTCAGATCTAACTTGTCCACCTTCAAGAATGAGTTAGAGGAACGAGACTGAGGACTTATGCAACTCACATTTCTCAGCCTTAACAAACAAAGATTTTCGAGCAAATGTTGCAAAACCTGATGGACATGATGTTGGTGTTGGACAGGATCTCGGGAGTAAATCAGAATATCGTATAGACAAAGATGAAGACATGAATTGATGATCTTAACCCATGTGTAGGCGGAACTAACAGCCATATAGGTTTGTCTATTCGCTCCCGACTTCTGCTGCAGAAACGGGCGTCCAACTGAATAGCAAGGGCTAACAAACCTTCAAAAGTTTCTGTCTGCTTAACTCGGGCCAGTTCATCCGTTAACTAGAAGCGAGACTGCTGCACTGGATCGGCAGAAAACACTGTCTTAAATTCATTTAGGAAAGCCTCGAAGGTGCAGCCGAAAGATCGTCAGTCTGGAATGAGAGCTTCAAATGGGAGAATTATCCTGCCATAATGCAAGAGCACATAATTTTAATTATGTTCACATTCAGTAGGGTTAAACAAGCGCACCCTTTCTGAGGCTGTCGTTCTATTGGCTGGAAAGGTTGCTAGGCGACGATCCGACTGCAATCTGAGATAGAGCAAAAAAAATCCGCAATCAGAGCCTACGGGTTTGCGAGCGTATCTGAGACTCGAGCAGAGCGCGGTTTGTGCGCGAAGAGAAGGAGGCAAGCGAGAGAAGGAAATATCTGTGCAAGAAGCATTAAATCTGAGAGAAGAAACAACAGTCCGCGGACCCCCTGTTGAAGACCTCTGATCTAAGGCATAAGTGCGGGGAGACTGATTAAACACAAGGGAGCATTGAAAAAGAAACCCTCCAGAATCTGCACCGTCTCCGGAGTATTTTTCCTGGATCGGAGACGATCTCTCTGAGAAAGGGAGAGACTGATCAGGCGAACCCGAAGTAAAGCCACTAGGAGGTGAAACACTGGCAGACACGGAAGTGTCCGAACTAGAATCATACAGCAGATAGCTGGTTAGGTTGATCCGACACAATCTGTATTTGTCCCTGAGCTGCGCTTATAGCTAACCCTAGAGTCTGTAACTGCTCCTGCTGAATGCGTCTGCTGGGTCAATTTGGCCAGAGTGTTCTTCTGTCATGGTTTTAATGTTTTTTGGCGCACATGCAGATACAGACGGTTGAAATAGGAGCAGTTTAAGATTTTTATTGACTACACAACAATCTGAGTTATAAAATTAACCCCCTTGAAAATCCCCTCTTATTGTTACATCGGATTTATCCAAATCTCTTTGAGTTGCGGTTGGATGGAAGGAATGGACGGAAGACGGGCCTGCAGAAACCAGACCGAGCAGACCTTCCCTCCACTTCCCTGGCGTGAAAGTGTCAGCACATTTTAATTTTCCAGGTGAAGGCACTCTGTCTCCCCCTGGTGGTTGCTCTTTGAATTACAGCTATAACTTGTATCCGTCTTTGTGTTGAGTGTTTTAATTGATAATCTTAGAGGGGTGATTTTAAACTATAGGTTTGAAACTTGAGTTAATCAAAAAGCTTGTCTGTCAGGTTTGCCACTTCTGAGGGGATATCCAAACACTGCATATGTCCTTTTTGTGTTAGCTTGTTTGGTAAATGTTCCATACACGAGCATTATCGCATTCAGCTAATTAAACCTTCTAAAACACGGAGAGGCAGCATTTAGATCCTATGCTCCACTTATCTGGAACAAAATTCCAGAAAACTGTAAAGGTGCGGAAAGCCTGAGTTCCTTTAAATCAAGACTAAAAACACATTTGTTTAGGATCACCTTCAACTGTTCTAGTTAAACAGTTCAACTAAAAAATTTTTTCTTAAGTCCAACTGTTTTTAATATTCTTTTTTGTTTCTGTATTTTTTATTTTATTTTATTTTTTTCCTGTTTTATCTTCCTGTATTTTAATCATGTAAAGCACTTTGCATTGTCCTTTTAATAAATTGGTTAAAAACATTCACTCATTCAAACATTCTCAACCTTTGTCTCCAGAGGGGCACCAGGCTAGGATGCCTGCACTTCACCTCACTATTTGCCATTTTTATCGAACCTCTGGCAGCAACAATTAGACAAACTAATGTTGTTAAAAAAGATATAAAATGCCTGAAATAATAATAATAATGCATGAATCTTTACACAGATGGCGTGTGACTCCTGCAGTCAAACACTTCCCTCTCTCAACTAATTAGATTAAAAGAATATTTCTCAAAAGTTTCAGATTACTCTATAAATTTGTCTAAATCTACAGTACTGCCAATGAATTGCTCTCTACAGAACCCTCTAGATTTACTACTACAATCAGGAAATCTCAAATATTTGGGAATTACTGTGTTGTCTAAATTAGCTGATTTACCAAAACATAACCACTTCCCCTTGAAAAGATAGGAGAGGACCTTAAAAGAGCACTAGGATGGGAAGTTATAATAACTGAGCCTGTGTATGTTTTGTTTTTGTTCATTCTGTTTACTTGACAGGTTTGGGTCTCAAGTGCTCCCTCTCCCAAAAACATTTGAAGTCTCTGTTAAGTATGGATCCCATTCCCCCTTTCCTGCCCCCCTCCACTGGCTGCTGCTTTGGCCCGCTGGTTCATTGGTGGTTTTCAGGGTTTGGGGGTGGATGCTCGGGCAGGTACTGGCTCATTTCTATAGGCCGCTTTGCAGGGCTTGGGCCCTTGGGGCACGGTCAGGCCTTCCGCCGGTGGGCATGGCACGCCTGGGGCCTCGGGTCCCTTGGGCCCAAAGCAGATCTTTGGCTCTTACCAACCACTATTGAGCATTTTTCTTTTGGACGAACTATACATGCACAAGTGCACTATCACAACAACATTATCACAAACAATTACAGGTGCTTGGCTCCAGGTAATTAGAGATTCACTTCCATACAGAAAGCTCATATTCTTATCTCCAGCTTCCAAAGTATACAGATTGAATAATTCTACATATACTTCAGTGATAGTATCATGGTGTTATTTTATTGTATCCGCTGGTTGTGCTTTTCTTTTTACATCTCTCTTTGCAGACAGAAGATGTTTTATAATTTTCCTGTTTTTCCTTTCCTGTTCAATTATTCAAGACAATTATTCTTATTGCCACATTGCCAGAGAGGACACTGTAAAAAAAAATAATAAAAAAATATGTGATTGGGCATTTGACATCTGAACACATTGTTAAAAGGGTTTCCACATTGTTTTAGCCCAGAGTAAATATAGGTTTTCTTTGTCTAGGGAAGTGGCTGTTATCACCAGTCATCAAGTACCACTTCCCTGAGTGTTTTATTTGTTTATTTACTGACATACATCTGACTCATATGGAGCAATGATTACAGGCTTATGCCAAACTTATTTGTTGAAAAGGCAATGGAATACTTTCAATTAGGTGTGTCACATAAGAAATTATCTTAAACAGGCAGGCTGGTTTGACTTGAGGAGCAGGTTTGATAACTGGTCTTGTCGTCTCTGGTTCTTCTTGAAATTCGATAACATTTTTGTCTCAAATCACAATTACTCATATGCTAAATAGAAATGTCCCGGAGTCAAGTTAAAGATCAGCACAAAGACTGAAAGATGCATGTACTAGATGAATTTACTCTTTTAAAACTGTTAGGTTTACTCAAAAAAGAATGCTATTGTATATATGTTTTAGTTTTTTAGTTTAGTTTTCGTAGAAAGTTTAGAACTTGTATTATTTAGCTTTTAGTGTTTTAGTCAGTAATTACCTTTAATTTAATCACATATAAAGGACTTTATACAGTATATCACCAATATTCAGTCAGATTGGTGAAACAGCTTTTTATCCAAGAAAAACAGCTGGCTGCATCGAGTCATTGTCTCTGTGTGATACTCTCCTCTTGGATCAGCATGTGTCGACAGTAAATATTGGCTCGTATTGTGTCTCCACAGTAAAAATAGTTCTAAAGATAAGCTTGGTGGTTCCAGGTATTTTAAATAACAAAAAAAAACAATAATTAAAAAAACATCAAAGACATTATATCATCAACAGAGACGTCAAAGCTGTGAAGCTGTTGTTCTCAATTCCTCTTTAGCAGTAGTGCGTTTTAGAATGTTAATCATATGGTTGGTTATATTTACTTTTTCTTTCTCTTCAGAATCTGTTATGCATGAATAAGTGTGTTAAGGGTGTGTTACTTATTTATCGGATTCTGTGACATCGTTCTTGATCTTTTACGGTGTTAACAT